GAATGTCAGTGTAGCTGATAAGTGTTGCCATTTTCATTGCTTTTTGTTTATTTTAGATCGCATGATAAAAGTTTTTAAAAACCTGATATAGTGGGTGTACCAGTCAATGGACGTTACGAGTTATTGGACAAAACACCCTTTCAACATACTCATGAATATTACTTCAAATGCAAATTGTAACTTAATATGCCCTTTTGTCTCCATCAATCGGAATTTCTTAGTTGTTTTTTTAAAGATTATTAGTAATTGTCGGCCGTTTGGTGTAGTGGTTCGAAACGGACTACCTACTATTCCGGAGGTAGCGGGTTCAATTGCCGGACAGTACAAACATTTGTGTGCATGAACATATTTGTTTGTATCAGTCCGGGTGTTTTCTATGTATAATAAGTATGTATTTACAAAAAAAAAGTATTTAAGTATGTTTTATCCGTTGTCTAGTACCCATAGTACAAGCTTTGCTTAGTTTGGGACTAGAAGCGCAGTGTAAAATGTCCAAGGATATTTGTTATTACAAAAATTACTAATAGTCCCGTTAGCCCCTCGTACTAAGCTAAATATGCTTGTTTCACGAGTGGGCTTACCAAATAGTCGAGCGGCGGCGGGGACCGAACCCGCGTTCCCCGGATCACGAGTCGGCCAGTCCGACCCCTTCACCGTTCGGCTATCGTGGCTTCAAATAGAAATGCAATTTTTAATTAAATGAAAATAAAAATAAAATAAATAAAATACTCGACGTAAGTGTCCAGTGACTGGAAGTTTACCTTTTGTGTATTGAGAAACAGCAACAGTCCAGTTGGTTTGGTGGTTCGCATACCAGGTTAATGCAGGCTGCGGTTTCTGGTTCGAATTCCGCTGGGGACATTAGCTGGCTGAACACGAGCAATTTTTACCTGGACTTTTATTTTTAATGTGTATGCTGCTTAAGATTGTTTTTAGTTTATAGTCGCTTTAATTCATTACTGCAACGAGCTCTGTTAAATATGAAAAAAAATATTATAATTTATTATGATTTCATAGCTATTTAGAAATCAGATACAGGCGAAGAGCTTTCTCGTTGTGGATAAAAAAAAATCATTTAAAAATAAATGTTTCAGAAACGTAAAGTAAATGTAAGGTAAAATAATAATAATTACAAAATTTTTAGTCATGTCAACTCCTAGTGGAGAGCTGTTAACGCCGTTTTCGTATTATAGGATCTCGCTAAGTATTCCTTTAATATTTACTCACAGTGGGATGCTGACTGTACCAGCTGTGAAGTTACTGCTATGCACTTCTCGAAAGTGCGTCTTACATTTAACTTTAACCCTGGGCTTGTAGTTTGTACCATTAATTCTCCAGTCGAACCTACAGTATTTTTCCAAGAAATCGCTGACTAACGGTGCAGGAATAATCTTAAAGTACCTATCTACCTACACATTGGTTGGTTGTTCCAAAAAATCCATTCATGTCGTTACGAATGATCATTATGTCCAGCAAAAAAGACCTTTAGTCGTGAAAGAGGATAAAAATCTAATAAAAGAACCAAACAGGACCTATTGAAAGAAAATCCTACTAATAACCTAACTCGAACGTTCTGGCGAAAAATGGACGGACGTAAATAAATATTACGTGTACGTACTTGAAGGAATTTATAAGAGTAATGTATTTTATTATTATTCATTCACATAGCTATTTATGTGATTTGTGACATTTGTATGGCACAGGGCGGTGCATCCTCCCTTGAAACCTACCTTCGATTTTGAACTAAGACCTGACAGATGTGAATTTAAAATACTTAATACAATAAACGATTGAGTTTTTAAAAGACGGTTTTAAAGCTTTGTTTAAAACCGTCTTTTAAAAACTCAATCGTAAGCACACACACACACACACACACACACACACACACACACACACACGCTTATAATACTATTGTTATTTTTGTTAAGTTAATTTCAAAAAAATTTTAATATGCTTGTTAAGTTAAATTAATTTTCAAAATTACCATTTGTAATAAATAACTTTATTTAGTACCGTTCACCGATTTAAGTGTGGGCACTGGCTCCTGTAACACAGGTACATACACCTAGCACAGGAGTCAGGGGTTTCGCAATTTTATACTGTACTTGTTTTTATGTCAATAAAGTTATTATTTATTATAATTATCAAACACGGGTTAAAATTCTCATTTACAAATGACGTCCAAAAGGATTAACTTTGGACTCTACTATTCCCACCTCTCGTTCCCACCGCTGCAGCTCCTGTGTAGCCAGGATCTACAGCTTGACCGCCAATAAGAACCCAACCAGTGAAGGTCAAGTTTGTCCCGGGGGAAAGTGGACCCGCAACGAAATCATTCAGAAGAACATAGGAGAGCAGTGGCGGCGTAGCATGGGCTGGCACCCGGGGCGAACACCCCCCCCCCCCTCCCCCCGTCATAAGTCCTAAGGCACCCCCTGGTACCCCCCAGGATTTTGGGGTTACCTACCGATTCGAAAATTTTGAAAGAATCGCACCCTCCCCCCGTATCATGAAATAGACCGCAGACTTGCCATGCCGATGCGCCAGTGAGTACTAATCTGCGCGACTTGTGTCACCCCCTGATGCTTGGCNCTAAGGCACCCCCTGGTACCCCCCAGGATTTTGGGGTTACCTACCGATTCGAAAATTTTGAAAGAATCGCACCCTCCCCCCGTATCATGAAATAGACCGCAGACTTGCCATGCCGATGCGCCAGTGAGTACTAATCTGCGCGACTTGTGTCACCCCCTGATGCTTGGCACCTGGGGCGGACCGCCCCCGCCCTTACGCCGCTACTGTAGGAGAGTATTAACAACACAACAAACTCGTAAACAAAAGATTTATTGTTCATATTATACTCACATAACACACTTTATTAATTTCGTTCTAAATACGTCATCTATTTTCCTTTTATTTTTATCGTTGCAATTTGAGCTTTGGACTTTGTAGTCTTCTGTATAAACCGGCTGACCCTTGACTCATCTTGCAAATCTTCCAGTCATCTTCACACTAATTTCTGCTGCTATAATGTTTGCGGTTTTTATAAATAACTTTTCCAGTGGATTAAACAGAAATACCTAATACGAGTTTGAAAATGATAAAATAAAGACACTCGGGCAAAGTAACAAGACGATAAAATTAATATAAGTCATCATTAAATAAATTGGTGAAGTGGTACATTTTTACTTTTGAAGAATTTGCGATTGAGTCAATAAAAATCTTTTTACGACTTTCGCTTGCCGGATGCACTGACTTTTGACGTTTGTTACGGTCTTATTCATAATAAAATGCTAATATAGGTTTAAAACCTACATTAGCTAAAACGTTTGATAGGCTTAAAACACTCTTATAAACCTCTGATAAAAAACGTTATTCATAATCGTTTATAAACCTTTGATAGCTAAAACAGAGTTTAATATTTTCTTTCCACAGACTATACAAAAAGAATGAACGAAAACAGCTTTTTTGGTGATTTAACTTGGTGGACCATGTAAAATCATAGACAAATCGCAGAAAAAAAAAACAAAAAATTGGCAGCTGTGACGTTTTACTTACTGACATTGACATTTGGCACGAAAATTTAATAAAGTTTTCGGTTTTTTCGATCAACTCCCAAGTTTTATCAAACTTTTATAAAACTTGGGATTGTATGTTCTGGATTCTGTACCTCTTACCCTGTACTCTGCAATAAGCTCTTACGACGACCCGGCTAGTTACATCGGATACTAATTATGTCCATGACGAAGGAGAACAGACCGCCTAAAAGGCAACGATCAGAAAACTGGTTGGAGGAAGATAAGGTAGTACTTATTTTTAGCCTGATAAAGTGCCTACTAATTTTTGTAGCATGGTTTTATTTATGTTTGACGCCTAGTGTTTGCTTTTCAGTATTTGCTGAAAGAGTTGGTGAAAGAAAGAGTAAATGCAATCGAAAATAAAAATACAGACACTAACACGAATAAACGGAAGGTTGCGGCTTGGGCTGATTTACAAACAACGTTGGTACATCTTTTGATTTCTGCCTTCAATATAAAATTTTGCCTTTACCTGTAATTCAAAATCCTGTCATTTCTTTTTCAGGTTTAATTCAATGTGCGCTGGTATGAACCGCTCCATTACCCAGTTAAAATCGCAATGGAGCCTCATAAAAATCAGTGCGAAGAAAGACAAGACCATTGCTAGGCAGGCTCAAATTAAAACTGGCGGTGGTCCACCATTATCAGTGCCTGACGATAGGGGCTCACTGTCGGCTGACTTAGGCCATGGAGGTCACCAGCATCATCTTGTACCTGAAAATGTATGAAAATAATTATAGCAGCCACGACAAAGGGATAAAATAAAACACTTTTTTGTGCTTACCTCACGACGTCCCCAACATCTTATGGCCACTAAAACTTGCAGTTCAGGACACGTGCCACCACCTCTAGCGCTCTGAACCAGATCATCTTCCACCAAATCTATGATGGTGCGCACTGTGTCCTTATTGAACCTATATTTTATTTTAAAATTTAGGTCCCGCAAATCGAATGGGTTGCTTCGTTGGCGGTAGAGCTTTCTACGTCGCGCTGGGTCGGCATTATTGGCTAAATGCACAATTGCATTTATAGCATTCATTTTCACAAGCAAGGATCACAGCAAGGATATTTTGAATAAATAAACCAACGAAGTGACATTCATATGAAATGACATTTATAAAAGTTAGGTTAAAATAGGTTTATTAGAGCTTTAAACAAGGCCCGAGCTCTCGATAACTTATCACACAGATAAAAGAGGATTTTAGCGCTAAATGACGATTATGAATAACAATTTTTATCAAACGTTTTATAAACCTCTATTAAGCATTTGATAAAATGTGAAAAATGATTATGAATAAGACCGTTAGAGTTAAAGTAAGATTTAAATTTTTGCTGATTAAAAAGATCCCAACCATACTAATGATTTACCTTGAATGAGGCTTTTTAGTTAATCATTAACCTTTGAATTTTGTTTTATTATTTCAGTTCGACGACTTCGTGCGATCTCTGCAAGTGGACCCCCACTCCCCCCTCTTCAGGCTTGTAACGGACGGACAACCCCCTCTGAGGTATGTATAATAAAACTAAAGTCATTTATGTAGGTACTTCAGTCCTCCCCAACCCATTTGGCCACCGTGGAGAGTGTAGACCAATTCTCCATTTCCTCATCCAAGCAGTTGAAACTAAATGACCTGATGATGATCTTTTCTTCAAGGTTATTATAAAACTTTGTTTTATCACCTGTCATCCGCTTTGCACTGGAGGGAAGTCGAACCCTAACTTCGGACTCCTCCTATGTTCTTCTGAATTAATCAGAAGAACATAGGAAAAGTCCGAAGTTCGTTGCGGGTCCAATGACAGTTTTAACTATCCCCCGGGACAAACTTGACCTTCACTGGTTGGGTTTTTATTGGCGGTCAAGCTGTAGATCCTGGCTATACAGGAGTTGGTGTGGGAACGAGAGGTGGGAATAGCCCCGTAATACATGACCTAAATGACCTGATAATTATCTTTAGCTAATCACAATATAGATAGAAGAATCGATCGTTAATTGATTTGAAACGAGTTTTGAATGTCGTTTTACATGAGCCCTTGTGATAAAACCTATTACAATTACCCAAGAAACCACACGGCTCACCTTAATATTCTGTCTTGCTTACTCCGAAAGATTTGCATGTGAATGTAGTTTCAAAACGCTTTTGCTATTGGGGCAGGTTAGGAGTTATCAATTGTCGATCGCGATCGCAGCTCGATATCTAACGCCGTATCCGGCGGGGTATGATAATTAATATGGGACCAGCTTTTTTAGCCGAGGGTTCACACAGGGCTTTTTCCATTGAACAATTGCCTGGGCTTCTCAAAAATCCAATACGTACACATTACTAGTATCCATTTTTCCGTCTAATACTTGTATGTGTCTAACGCCCGAATTTTTCACATTCACAAACATTCGCACGCGTCGACGCACAGGGTTGTCACCCACACACATAGCTCTATTCAACGTTGTGCGTTCGATTTGCAGCATCGTTTGTGAATACGTACGGGCATAAGACTAGACCTCTACGTTGTAAAGGATCTCAGAATTACGATACGTAAAGTGCACTGAAAGTATTTGTCGCCATTATAAACTCTTGCTTTAAAAGTTTATTTAAAAGAAATGAATTGTGGAAAATTCTGAGGTTTCCTTGACCGAATTCTCGGTCGATTCACCAGACATTAAAAATCGTCTGAGCGTTTTTAATGGAAACACACAACATTAATTCCAACGAAATGCACATATTTGGACTCGATTAATATTAAAATCGACCAACAATAGCTTTAGCCCCGTTCGTGGGTGCACAGGTCGGGAATCGAATAATGAATATCGGGTGTCATTATACGTTGTATAATATACGTCTATTATGCTATTATACGGTATCAGATCAAGGACGCCTTGGGTGGTTGGGCAGGAACAAAATGTATATTATAATGTGTTTGTGTACGTTTCGCTTTGATGCGGTGATTAGGTATTGTGTAGATTTTTGATGCTATCTTTGTTTCTGTTATCGGTATACTCGTATGTTTTCCGCGTGGAAATCTTGTGAACGAAGAAATACTATTTACTAGCTTCAGAAAGTTTTTGCTACCCTAAAGCAGATTTATCCCTATTTGCCGTCGTTCTTGTAAAGTAGGTCGGAGAAAAGCAAAAGGACCAATCATCTGACCAGTGCAGCGTGGGGTCAATTCCTCCATTCTCAAAATTCGCATTATGGTAAATTAGAAAGAATGAGGATCAGTACTGTTGTAGAAAATTCAATAAAACTAGTATCTACGTTAATCTTTAAGACATAAGAAAGATATATCTTTTTGAATTATCCAAATCGGACCATTACTTACGAAGATATTAAGTAATAAACATAGGCCGTTTTTGCCGCTAAAAGTCAACGTACGCAAGGCCGCGTGACGTCATTATATCCGAATCGAGCGCAGCCGGCGTACTAATGGGATGGAAAATATTTTTTTCCGGCTAAACTATCAGTTTTAGAAAAAAACTTTTAATAACATTTATTCTTCAAAATAAAGTAACCTATCGACCAGTAATTTTTAAAAATAAAAATTGTGAAAAATAAGTATTGCTATGTCCAAAAACCACATTTTCATAGGATTCGATGCAATGCGGAGACGCGGTTGGGGTGAGTGTAACTTAATGATTGTTTGTATTGAACATAATAATACATAATATGATGCTAATACCCAGTTTCTGGCCTGGGGGGGGGGGGATAAGTCATACCCAGCTTATAGCCTAGGGGGAGGGGCAAGCCTTACCCATATTGTTAGAAGTTATACCTTATTGTTAGAAGTAAATAAATTAATACTTATACATTTTTATATTTTACTTGGAAGAAGATATGACTCTAACAACACTTATGTACACTTTATTTGAATAAATCGCCAAATATACCACCGCGGAGACCCCAATCGCGTCTCTGCGTGCCATTGAATCGTATGAGCGTATGGATTTTTTGCGTTATTTTTCACAATTTCCATTTTTAAAAATTACCTATCGATAGCTTACTTTATTCTGATGAATAAATGTCATTACAAGTTTTTCTCTAAAACTGATAATTTGGCTAGTAAAAAATATTTTCTATCCACGCAGTACGCCGGCAGCGTTCGGATCGGATATAATGACGTCATCGTCCCCGCGCCGGGCGGTCAGTGAACTTTTTTAGTAATTTGGCCATAACTTCGTCAATTTTTGTCGTAGAACAAAAATTTTTGCACTGTGTATTAAGGATTTCTTAGCCCTATAAATCTGCATTCACAGCTAAAAATCGAAATGATCCTCATTGTGCTTCTGCAGTGAAGAGTTAACGATGATGATCACATAGGTACCTTATTTAACCATCATCAATACAATGTTTCATCCCCTTTATACAGGGTGTTAGGTAAATGGGTATATGAACCCATGTTAACATAGTCATATAAATGGTATGATGGTGAAGTAAAGATATGATGTGAAGTAAAGTACCCAATTACCTAACACCCTGTATAATTTATTCATCGTTATCATCAGGTCGTTAAATGTCCACTGCAGGAGGTCACCCTCTACTACACTCAGAGCCAGAGGCAAATAGAAGGTTTAGTCTACACTCCCAACGCTGGCCAATCGGGTTGACGAAACATCTTCCTCGAAAACGCATCCACGGGAAGAGTGGGGTGTTCTTCCATACTGTGTCATAATAATATTAAATCACTTTAGCCTAGGCGCAGACCATCGATTTTTCGTCGGCCGATAGTTTAGTCGGGCAGTTGATCAGTATGGGCATGTATGGAAGTGCGCACATTACGCCGATTCGATTTGGCCGATTCTTCATAAAAATTAAAATAGGGCCCAACTATCGGCCAACTAAAAATCGGTGGTCTGCGCCTAGTCTAAATTTTTTCAAAGGTACGGAACTATTCTCGCCTCTCGTTCCCACCGCTGCACTCTTGTGTAGCCAGGATCTACAGCTTGACCGCCAATAAAAACACATTATCAAAAGTAATGAAGTCCCAAATGTCTAACAAATCCTCGTAATTCCAGACAATGCCTGCACCCCGAAGCGTGCAGCAAGGAGCTCACGCTGCCAGCGTACTACGCTCGCTTCCACGACCTGCGCAAAGAATACGTGCGAGCGTACACGCTGCGAGCGGTCGCGCCGCGAGCGCAGGCGCCGCCGCCGCCACCGCCGCCCGACAACCCCGCCTGTCTGTTGGATATGCTCAATTGTATCCTTTTTCAATCATCATCAGCTATCAGCCTTTCAAAGATCATACACACTATTAATAGCCGAGTAACGCTGGTTCGTACCCGCCGCCGTTACACACTCGTGTTACGAAGCCAGTCAATACAAATTACCTAAATTACTGGTAGTGACACCCCTCCCGTGCCGCTCTCATACCTCAGGAACTGACTGTTTTTTAAAGTCGGTTAAAAAGTCTAAAGTTCTCTGTCGTTTAATAACTCAAAGGTGACTGACTGACTGACATAGTGATCAACGCACAGCCCAAACCACTGGACGGATCGGGCTGAAATTTGGCATGTAGGTACACTCGCGAGCAAAACTATGGAATCACTTACATGAAGTTGTTTCCACGCGAACTTGTGTACTAACGAATTTGTTAGTAACAAAAAAAGACCACCACCATGGCACCATTTTAAAGATTAAACTTTTATCTTTAAATTGATACCAAATTAATTTAAATCACACCAGTATTTAAAAAGATATCCCGGCTGATGTGAAGAAGTAACGAAAAAGACATGTATGAACTGTTTGATACGTCGCGAGTTGCGGCCTATTTACCCCCTATAAAAGCACGCGTTTTCGGATTTTTGCTTTCACACGTTGATTCATACACATCTCCGCTTCTTTTGACACTTTACCTGGGATTCTACACCTTCAGAAGCAGCACAAATCGTTGCACTATTGCAAGAAGGGCTCAGCCAGCGGGCTGTCGCACGTCAGCGCCACATAAGCCAGTCCTGGGTTTCGAAAGTTTTAAGACGCTTTCGGGAGACTGGTGGCTTTATCCCGAGACCAAGTTCTGAACAGCGCCGGCGCACATCGCAGAGGGAAGACCGTTTTTTCATGTCAACCTCTCTATGAAATCGTCATTTGACTGGAATCGATGTCCATCAAGAGCTCAGAAATGTTCGTAAGATAGCTGTTAGCGAGTGGACAGTTCGTCTAAGATATAAGCAATAGAATTTGACTCCAAAAAGGCCTGCCACAGGCTCGAAACTGACGGCAGGTCACCGATAAGCACGCTTTCAATTTGCTCGTACACATCTCGATTGGAAGGCGAGTAATGGAGGCGAGTTCTGTTCTCCGATGAATGCAAACTGTGTTTGCAGGGCAGCAGTCGAAGAGGTCGGGTTTATAGGCGGCCTGAGGAGCGATTTGTGCAGTGCTGGTTCGCTGAAACAGTGGCTTATGGGGGTGACTTGCTCGACTTAACATCGATATGTGTACGAGAAAATTGAAAGCGTGCTTATCGTTGACCTGCCGTCAGTTTCGAGCCTGTGGCAGGCCTTTTTGGAGTTAAATTCTATTGCTTATGTCTTAGACAAACTGTCTACTCGCTAACAGCTATCCTACGAACATTTCTGAGCTCTTACTGGACGTCGATTCCAGTCAAATGACGATTTCATAGGGAGGTTGACATGAAAAAACGGTATTCCCTCTGCGATGTGCGCCGGCGCTGTTCAGAACTTAGTCTCGGGATAAAGCCACCAGTCTCCCGAAAGCGTCTTAAAACTTTCGAAACCCAGGACTGGCTTATGTGGCGCTGACGTGCGACAGCACGCTGGCTGAGCCCTTCTTGCAATAGTGCAACGATTTGTGCTGCTTCTGAAGGTGTAGAATCCCAGGTAAAGTGTCAAAAGAAGCGGAGATGTGTATGAATCAACGTGTGAAAGCAAAAATCCGAAAACGCGTGCTTTTATAGGGGGTAAATAGGCCGCAAATCGCGACTTATCAAACAGTTCATACATGTCTTTTTCGTTACTTCTCCACATCAGCCGGGATATCTTTTTAAATACTGGTGTGATTTAAATGAATTTGGTATCAATTTAAAGATAAAAGTTTAATCTTTAAAATGGTGCCACTTTTTTTGTTCCTAACAAATTCGTTAGTACACAAGATCGCGTGGAAACAACTTCATGTAAGTGATTCCATACTTTTGCTCGCGAGTGTAGATGTTATGACGTAGGCATCCGCTAAGAAAAGATTTAACGAAACTCCACCCCTAAGGAGGTAAAACGGGATCCACGCGTACGAAGCCGCAGGCGGCTATTCAGCCTATAAAAATCTATACACACCATCTAATTAGTAAGCCACAAGGGCTGGACTGGCCGACTCGAGATTTGACGAACAAAGTGTTTGTAGTGTTCTAGATCTAGTAATTTGAGCAATACAAATTCATCATCATCATCTTAGCCATAGGACGTCCACTGCTGAAAATAGTAGGCCTCCCCCAATAATTTCCATATTGCCCGATTGGTAGCGGCCTGCATTCCTGCTACCTTTAGCTTTGAGATCGTCCGTCCACGGTGGATGTCCCAACAGTTTACCAGTAGGTGATCTCCACTCCAGAACTTTGCTACCCCATCGGCCGTCAGTTCTGCGTACTATGTGCCCTAGGCTGCCCTGTATGCCTTATTTTTTTTTATTATTCTTTAAAAAAAATAGAAATATTATAAACCTCCTTCATTTACGTAGTTGCAGATTACTACGGAAAGTAAGAACTTACTACATAGATATCTTGCTAGATATCTCAGATGAGAAGTTTTTTCTAATGCTCCAACTTCACTGAATGTCGAAATAACGATAGTAAAATTGCTGTTCACGTTAAAACCAGATATTAATGGCCCTATCACGTTTAAGTACCCAGTAGTTTGTGCCACTTTGTCTTGCGGTTTCATCCTAAAAAGTTTCCTTGACCAAAATGGATGCGAACACACGACCTCGCGGTTTGGGCGTTTTATCGAACAATCTACACGAACCAATCATGCTTTATAAAGCCTTGGATGTTTGAGAAATTGCTAAGTGCATCCCAAAGCTCCACGACTCTTGGCTTTTATTCATAAATTTACAACCAAATAGGTGCACGAAATAAACTTTTAAATGGGTGTACCAATAATTCAGACCCCACGTCATCTACTAATGACTGATAGTTGGGTAGTTTATTAAACTGTCTACTAAATCTTTGCAATAATCGCAATAATGATATTGCTCTTCGGGATAAAGAAAATCTATATCTTATAGAGGTCAGAGGTGAAGGATTTACAAAAAAAGTAGTGTAAGTTTTACCTAGATTACCCTATCATCAATCATCTTTTACTTACATTCAGTTTGATGTTAATTAACCTAGTAGAGTGTCATTAGGATAATTGAAGTTTGATTCATAGACGTACTCGTATATTTTTATATGTCTATGGTTTGATTAGTACCTATTTACTTAGCGCCAAGATTAGAACCTCAAATATTCATCTTTTTTAATTTTCAACTACCATATACAATGATTTCTTTAACCCAAATTTCACAGATTTAGGTATACCTCCATATTCTGGAGACAACTTTTACATTGCAGAAGTCAAAGACATGGTCAGTGTGATACAAAGGATAATATCCGATGGTAAGTAAACAACAACGTAAAAGTGCTTTTTTAAAGCCTACTTACAGAAATAAATGATTTTTACTGAGTTTTTAATTTAAATTAATTTCGAATGCATATTAATTAAGTTAAAACTAAAAGACTGATAGTAAGACTGCAGATACTTTTAAATCTGTGATTGCAAATTTTATAACATAAACATAACATAAATTAATCGCCCGCTATCCAAATATCACACGAAGGTGATCCATAAAAAACAAATTACGTCCACAGAAAAATAATAGTAGGTATTATTTAGATTCTGTTGATAAAATGTGAGGAAGCTGGAAATTGTAATAATAACTTTTCGTTTGTGTTTTTTCAGGTTTCCGGTTAGAGTTGCCAGAGACTGTTGACTTAGTTTTAGAAACTGGAATTTGGTGAGTTTAAATTAACATTATTTTTCCATTATTAGATTATATTAACTAGGTGCTCTCACAATAAATACTTGTGTTATCCCAGCAGCACGAAGCACCAAAACGCCTGTATAAAATTTATCGGCAAAAACACATAAGAGTCAAATTGACAATCGGTTCTTCAGGCACTGTATTTCAATTATGAAGTCAATAAAATAACTAAATCGTATAATGATTGATTAATGTCTCTAATAACTCATTACAATAAAGGGAAAAATAATATCTATTATTTTTGTAAGTAAGTTAGTTGATTGACTGTCTGAGCCCGCGACTTCATACGCGTGAAAATAGTTTGAATAATATTTCCAGTTTTTGCAACCTTTTTCTTTACTCTAACGATTCCAAATGAAGTAGTTTTCTGTTCCGTAAAATTACCTCATAATGTTCAGAAGAAGGACGTAAGCAAACATGATAGAGCTGTGATTTGATTTTGATGAAGACCGAGTCACGCGATGGTCACTCAATCATGCCAAGTTATCAGCATTACGAGTATATTGCGGATTTGCTGACATTGGTAACATTGTTGTAGTAACATAAACATGCTTTTAGACCAAGTTAAAAAATTAAACAAGTTCTGACTTTGTGAGGTCATCAAATAAATATAATTTATTGTACAGTCGACAGCATATCAAGGTATACATTTTTGATGCAAAATGGCCTGTATTACGACGAGATAAGATGCCACTGTGTTTAGTTTGATGTGCTGTCGTCTGTACAACATACCTATTTCAGATAAAACTGTTTTAATTTCTGGGTAAGAAAATTAAAATCTCTTGATGAAAATCTTAAAATTTTCATTTTGTGTATTCATCAGGTGCCTTTTAAAAAGCTCGTGGTAGTTGCTACCATTAAAATTATAAAAACAAGATATCTTAATACGTAGGTACTTACTTTATTTACTACAACATTCTAAGGTTAATTACCTTTAAAATAAACTCAAAAACCCGAAATGAACTGAAATGATTAGGTATTCATCATAATGTAAAGAAACTAATTAGGTATAATGTGGCTTAATTTAATATAATAAAAGCTAAGACGTAACAAAATATGGGATTGGTTTGACAGGTTTGACATCACAAAAAGTTCTAACTCTTGACACTTTTTTGTCAGTCAGCAAAAAAGGGACAGGTCGTTTAACTGTTTGCACTCGCTCAGCTTTTGTTTGTATTTTTTCTGAAAATGGTTATTAGCAGAGTGTTTTTTGTCGTTTTAGGATGTCACTACCTGCATTGAACCTTACAGTAATAATAAGATTGCTAAGTTAAGGAAGATTTTATTTCTTTCTTTAAACTCCAATCAGAATATTGTAAAATAATTAGGACACCATTTATGATAAAAACTTAATATTAACTAGGTACCTACTTAAGCCCTAGATTTTACAATCGTCAGATAACTTTTAACTGAAGAATAAGTTTTGCACATTGACAGTTTCAGTATGGGAAATATGTCAAAATGACAATTTTATTCTTCAGTTATAAGATATCTGAGCTCTGAGGATTGAGAAATCAGTCCTATTTATCTTGAAACACCATAACTGAACTGATACTTTAACAGAACTACTTAAACCGACTTACACGATTTGACGTCACACCGTCTCTATTGTTTGTTACATCCAATCGACCATACAAATCCCCATACCTGACTTCACCAAGTACTAAATCCACAACGCACGCAAATTTCCCTGAATCGTATAGGAAGGAGTGAGACGTCCGAGAGTGTATTGCTGACTAAAACAACGCCGGTACCACGCAACACAGAAGCATGTTAGCGATATGTTTACGTCATAATACAATAAGGACTTATACACAGTGCCGGAAATGGAACGACGATCTGGTGATGAAGGTCGAGGGAAGAACCTGGATGCGGGCAGCGTACGATCGGTCGTTATGGAAATCCTTGGAGAAGGCCTTTATCTAGCAGTGGACGTCATTTGGCTGAAACGAACGAACGAAATTAAGCAATTGCTTTGGCCTTAGGGCATCACCTCTTGGGAGGCACCAAAAATTGCTAGCACATAAAAAATCCGCGTAAACAAGACCCGCAAAAGTAGTTTTGTTAAAATTTGTTTAATAACTATAATAGCATCGACTAGCTAGACTTATACCGGCAGTGTTTGTACAAAGACATCTTATAAATGGGAAAAATAAAACTACATTTAATTTACGTTTAATAAATCACTTCCAATCGTCCAATCTGGAAATCATTCAAGAAGGTCTATGTTAAGCAGACTTACATTTTAGTAGTTAAAGATGCCCGTGTTGAGTTTATGTGCCGTCCCTCAATCTTCTTAAATCTAGTACTATATAGGTACCTATTTTATTTTATCTTCAGTAACAACAATGGATTAACTTACATTAAAACAATCACGTGAACTGATTGATAACAATATCTTTACAAATTAATTACCTAGATACCTATATCAAGACGAATGTACAGTTTTCATCACCTATCATTTTGACTTCCTCTATTATGATTAAACTGAGATGATATCACAAAACTTCTGAATTCCGTCTTCTGTAGAAGTTTTCGATTTCGGAGTTTGGAATTATGTCCCAATTTCCTTCAAAACAGAAATGTACCTTGATACCATTTATCTATCGATTAGTAGGCGACGATTAAAGCTATCTAAGCTTATTAGATAACCGAACCGAATTTAGATTTATGTCTATCTAATTCTATCTTTAAATGACAAAAATATGGAAGGTAACTTACTGTAAAGATACTTTGCATTAGAGAAAGGAGTGATACTCTGGTATGCGTTCAGAGCAGACAGTGTCTCCAAGCTACTTAATGTAGGTACCTGCTTATCTACGGGACTATTCTCACCTCTCGTTCCCACCGCTGCAACTCCTGTGTACCCAGAATCTACAGCTTGACCGCCAATAAAAACCTAACCAGTGAAGGTCAAGTTTGTCCCGAGGGAAAGCTTAGGGGGCGTCCATAAATTACGTGAGACAATTTTGGCCATTTTTCAACCCCCCCGCCCCCCTTTGTGAGATTTGGTGAGATTTTGCCTGACCCCCTCCCCCACCCCCCTAATCTCACGTGATATTTAATAAAATGCCTATTTTGCAATGTCTATGCTTCGAGTACCTATATTAGATTTATATGAAAAAATCAATATGAAAAAATCAGTAACCCAGTGTCGTGCCACACGCAGTGCAGGGTTCCGTAGCTTCCCGTCGTTTAGTAAGACAAGCAATTGCTTCAACCTAGGACCAGTTTTTTGATTCATAGTTAAAATAACTAATTGTTAAATTTTGCTACTAATGGTTAAATATTAATAAAATGTAAACTAATAGTTAAAAGATGTACTAAAAGTCAAGTTAAACATTGTTAAAAAAACATTATTTTCTGTTATTTAACCACTTGTCATTTGACAGCTGTCAAATTTGACTATTGGTTACTTTAACTACGAATACATAATATTTTCATACTTATGACATTCATTTTTTAGGGTTCCGTAGTCCTGACAAGGAACCCTTATAGTTTCGATATGTCTGTCTGTCCGAGGTTTCGCTTGGAAATTATTGGCACTGGGGAGCTGTAATTTTGTGAAGGTATGTATATTAATCACGCCGACAAAACGATAAAATAAAATTTCTAGGGTAGCTCCCCTGCATGTAAAGTGGGGATGATTTTTTTCAAGGAAAACTATAACGGTTAAGATACATTACTTAGTTTAAGAGTAATAGTCATTTGACTCATGTATTATACAATTTCTTAACCAGTAAAAATTCCTTAGAAGAAAATATGAAAAGTGACTTTAGATGAAGTAATTGCTTGCTTCTGAAATATACATATTGTGGTAACGACAGACAACTACGGAACCCTACACTGCGCGTGGGACGACACGCACTTGGCCCATTTATTACGCAATAGAGATGCTGATCAAGTTTTTTTTTTAAGTTCGAATTTTCTTAATTTCGACATTTATTCTGCTTCTTTAGTGTTCACAAATGCAGATGGAGGCATTTTTAGTTAAATTTGATTAGACGGTTTGGAATAAATTGTCATTATCATCATAAAAAAAATCATTTTTTTTTACTTCAATAACCCAGTTTTCTGGTAATTTTACTCTATTTCTTGCGGGAAAAATTACGTGATATTTTCTGAGACCCCCCCTCTCCCCCACGTGAGATTTAGTGAGATTTTCGTTGACCCCCTCCCCCCCTAAAAGCCTCACGTAATTTATGGACGCCCCCTATCTGCTAAACTGTTGCTAAGTATAAAACTTTTTTAAAAGTAAATGTAAGTAATACTCACAAATTCTTAAAACCTACGATTAAATACCAACAAAGATTTTCAGGTAGTTCAGCGATTCATATAAACATGAACAATGTGATATCCGTTCGAAAATCTATCAGTGTAGACTGTAGTGCAGACACCAAGTAAGTACAGCGTGAAAAACATAACGTCATTTAATTTCAAACAAACTATGTAAGTCGCAAATCAACACTAGTGAACACTTCTTAACTTAACTATCGCTGGAGCAAGCTTCATAATACAAGTCATATCGACTCCTGCGCAGGGCGAAGTGTCACCAAGCGTTGAGCGTCACACCGGCTCACTTCGCGCTGAACCGTCACGCGAACCGCACGTCTTTTGCGCTCCGTTCGAAATACTAAAAGCTTATCTTTTCTGTTTTGAAACATCTCCTTGGTGTTATAAAAATCGTGCTTGATAACGTGTTTTGGAGTCAGGACTTTGTGTTTGTTTTGTGAACCACTTTCGGGTCTTTTATCGGTCCTCGGCTGCGACTTAAGATAAGAAGGTGAGTTGTGCTGATAGCTTTTCGTCGATAATTACTTAGGTTTGTCCACTGTTACGATGGCCGTTGTGAGCGGACTGGCGATAGGTATGATGGAATGTGACGAGAGATTACATGCCCGACGCCTTTGAATTTACTAGGTGTCATAAGCACAAATGGTCGTAAACTTAAATGACAACTTAGATTAGTATTT